TGTCCTAGGTTTCCCGTTTCACTACCAATGTTGATTTGTCCATGTCTACTACCTCTTTGCATATCACACCTAATCCAACCACGCCTGCTATTGTCATTTGGCATCTGAAATCATTCCACTTTTCAATATATAAGACAGATGGACTCACATTCTAGCTGTATCTGAAGAAGTGAGCAGGGACTCACGAAAGCTTATACCCTATCACAAACTTTGTTAGTCTTTAAGGTGCTACTGGGCTCTTACTCTTTTCTACTTCCAAGGGTCTGTCCTCTTAGCTGATAGAGGATCCAGCAGGACCAAATAAATACATGTAGCAGTTGCAGACTCCACGTTAGTTCCCACAGGGCAAACCTCCGAGGCTCACATTCCTCTAACTTTGCGAGTTAATGCAGACCAGACATGAATAACTCAATTTTCTCCTCTGTATTTACAAAGGATGTAGGCGGTGTTGCTTTACAAGATGCAGAACCTCAACAGGTCAATGTGTTTATGTTAAACAGTCTGTGCTTTCCCAAAGCTGACTTTGGGGGGTATTTTTGTTTCCTAACCACTACAAAGACAGCTCTGCTCCCCTTCACCCCAGACATCCTGTTCCTGCAGAACTCAGCCATCCGCTCGTTTCCCAATGATACAGTACAGCAATCTTTTAGGCCACAGTAGAAAGCACCCTGTAAACTTACTCAAGGTTTGCCCACAATTATTCCTATAAAATCCAAGCTACAAGTAGTTATCTCCATCCAGAAACGTTTCTAGCCCAGAATACAATTCAAAATCCCATCCTGAAGGTCTATTTATTTAGGATTTCACAAGATCTCTGCATGCATTGGGGGAAGGGGTTGTCAATATTGCTGAGTCAAATTAAAAGTACCCAGGTCACTGTAGTCCTGCTCCAAATGCAACTGACAGATGCTTTGAAGATCTGATACAAGTCATTAGAATGAAATTTACAAGGACAGTAAGAATAATACATTTATTAGAACTAACGAATGTTTACAATGCAGTACAAAGGGTTTTGAGTTACACTGAACATTTATTTGTCTGGACATTAATAAGAACAGCGCCTTTTTACAAAGCAAATCTGCAGAAGCGGTCCAAGTACCTGTGGGATTGCTTGTGAAGCACTGTACACACATCACATAATCTCCCTACCATGACGAGATGTGCCTAGACAAGAGGGTCTCCGAGCACTTGCGAGCTCACCATACATTAAAGCACTCTGTGTATTGCAGCCATCCCACGGGATAGCTACCACCTGGAAGCTGTGACCAAAGGCCCCAAAGAACATTTTTATGTGTAGACTGGCTTTTATACTTTGCAGACAGTCACTCGCCTGATCATACGGGGGAGAAAGAATTTCTTCTAAGGGACTAAGTTTTTAAAAGCTGGTTCCCCACCAGGGGCATAAACTACAGGAGGGCAGCAGGGCTCAAGTCTTCCCCCAGAGGGGGCAATACTCCCCCCAGCCTGCCTCGTAGCATCATGAAGCTGCTTAGGCTTAAACTGTGCAGCAAAACTCTAAGTCAACAGCAAAAGTCAGGTTTTGGGTTTTTGTGTGTGTTTTTTTCTTTGCTGACTATGACAGCAGATTGTTTGGAGGCTGTGGCCCATTGGTAGAGCACTCAGCATGCAGAAGTCCCAGGTTCAATCCCTGGTATCTCCACTTATGGGAGACCAAGTAGGAAGACTGATGGGAAAGACTTTTGCCTGACATTCTGGAGAGCTGCTGGTTGCTCAGAATTGATTACACTGAGATAAATGGAACAATGACCAAGCTAAGTATAAGGCAGCTTCAAATGTTCATTTCCAGCTCCTAACTATGTGGCTGCTATGTAACTAATAGCCAATGAAGTAGATTCTACCCCTGCCTTCACACTCTACTGAGCAATGCTGGAAGCTCTCCTCCAACCTAAGGAGCTTTCCCCCAACTTAAAAGGCTCTTCTGTTAGATTCCCAACATACAAAAAAATTTAATTGCAATGCTATTATTGGTAGCTTAAAAAGTAATTGCCTCTCATTGGAAGGCCTCCCAGCTACCTGGGGTAAAGGAGTGGTATATGTGTCTGTGGGACAATATAATTTTTGATAAAATAGCAGGTGTTAAGAGGTCAAATAAGTATCCTATGTTTGAGTCAAACTTCCTGAATAAGTGGTACCTGGTATTGGAATTTTTTTTAAAAAGAATGTAGATTCCCCATATTCCTTTAGCAATCATCATTATTTCAAATTTATTTTGTTAATGTAATGATTAAGATTTGTATAAGGCAGTATTGAAATCTGCCTTGTAGTACAGGTATTTCAACTCCATCGTTGTTGTTGTTGGGTTTTTTTAGAAGTACCCGAGGGTACACTCTTATTATTTTTCCATTATATACTACAGACATACATACAAAACACACAACTACCCCTAACAACATATAACATATAGCAAGAGACTTTTATCACTCCTTCTGCTTACTAAATTTCTAAATTCATTATCTTTTTTACTAAGCTTATCTTTTCTGCGTTCTCAAATTACTACATCTATCTATCAGTTACGTTTACATTATACCAATCATAGAATCTCTTCCAAGTTTTTTGAGAAGTCCATTCTGTGCCGGCTCTCATCTCAAGTGTCAGTTTGTCATTTTCCTCCATTTCAAATAACTTGTTCACATACTCTTGTTTCGTTGGTATTTCCATTATTTTCCAATATTTGGCATATACTATCCTTGCGGCTGTCGACATATGAACTATCAAATACCTATATGCTTTATCAAAGTCTTTCGGAAATATATTCAATAACAGTATCTCTGGAGTAAACGGGATATTAGTTCTTATTATTTTTCCCATTATCTCATGGATCCATCTCCAATACCTCATCTGCAAAAGCTAGTATTTTAAAGTGTTCTTTCTTTATTTGAAGTCCAGTTATTTTACTCTCTTTTCTGATGGCTTCATTCATAACTTCCAGTACCATAATAAACAAAAGTGGGGATAAAGGGCATCCTTGTCTCGTACCTTACTGGATCTCAAAATTATTTGAAAGTTTTCCATTGACCATAACTTTTGCTTTTTGTTCACTATATATTGCTTGAATCATAGTAATAAAGCTTTCTCCTGCATCTAACATGCGAAACGTCTCCAACATAAAAGTCCAGTTAACATTGTCAAATGTTTTCTCCGCATCCAGAAAGATTATTGCCATCTGCTTCTCATGGTGTAGTTCATAATATTCTAACACATTCATCAGTATTCTCAAATTATTCCTCATTTGTCTCTTAGGTAAAAAACCCAACTGATCCTTATTATTTCCACGAATACTTTTTTCAGCCTCTGCGCCAAAATTGATGCAAAAATCTTATAGTCCACATTTAACAGTGATATCAGTCTATAGTTTTTCATTTCCTTCTCATCTAAGTTTTGTTTATGGATCAAATAAATATTTGCTTCCTTCCACGTGTCTGGGATTACGCCTTGTTCTCTCGCCATATTACATATATACTTAAAGGTCAGTGCAATCTGCTCTTCAAAAATATGGTAAAATTCTATCGGGAGTCCATCTGGTCCTGGAGCTTTCCCTCTATTTTGCCTCTTTATTGCCTTGACCACCTCCATCATTGAGATTTGTTGATTTAATATTTTTCTTTGTCCTTCTGTAAGTTTTTGCAATTTATATTTTTCCAAATAACTTTGGATTTTATCCACACTCACTGTCGTTTTCCTGTATAACATTTTATAATATTCCTCCATAGCTTTTTTGATTTCTTCATTTCTATAGATATTTTTCCCTTCTTTTCTCAAGACTTTAATAAAAGTTATTTCCTTCTGTTGACTAATTTTATAGGCCAGCCATCTAGTGGGTTGGCTGGTCAACTCCATCGTTGTTGATGTTCTGTTACTGGTTGATGTTTTGCCACTGATTGATGTTATTTTTGAATAAATTAAAAAAATTAAAAAGGCTCTTCTGTTGGAGGATACACATGCAAGTTAGAGGGAAACACCTTGGGGAAGTTGATTGGGGCCACCCCACCCATTATGTATTACTATTTAAGGACCCACAGCTATAGACAAAGGATCCCAAACTTTTTGAGCCTGCGGGCACATTTGGAATTCTGACATGGCATGGTGAGCACAGCCACAAAATGGCTGCCGCAGGAAACACCGCCACAAAATGATTGCCACAGTTTAACTTCAGTAATACAGTGTATATCCCTGGGCTGTGGTGGCAAGCAACATTTGAAAAAAATCTGCACAGCCAATCGGATCTGCAATAGATCAAGACAGGTAGCCCTGTTAGTCTGTCTGTCGCAGTAGAAAAGAGCGAGAGTCCAGGAGCACCTTAAAGACTAACAAAAGTTGTGGCAGAGCATGAGGTTTCGTGAGTCACTGCTCAGTGAGCAGTGACTCACGAAAGTTCATGCCCTGCCACAAATTTTGTTAGTCTTTAAGGTGCTACAAATCTGCAAGAGACAATTAGGAGCCTTGCCGGGCAAACGCTCTAGCTGGCCCAACTCACTTCCTAAAAACACCTGGCAGGTGCCAGGAAAGGTGTCAGTGGATGCCACACTGGGCAACCCTGCTATAGAGCATGCAGGAGACCCCAAGTTCAATACCAGTTAAAAAATTCAAGCAGTAGATGACATGAAAGACCTCCACCCAAGACCCTGGAGAGTTACAGCCAGTCAGAGTACTGTCCTTGATAGACAAATGGTCTGCCTCAGGGTAAAACAGCTTTACATACTGAGGAAACATCTTTAGACATTTGTTAAATGAAAGCCTAGAAGGAAAAACAGGTGATCTCTTTACCTGAGGGCCATAACAGTTCACGTAGGCCCTCTGAGGACAGGTAAGCTGAAGGATAAATAAATAAGCTACACTGCTTCCTTATTCCAAGACTGAGTGCCCATAATGCTAAATAAATTATGGTAGGAGACAACACAAGTGTGTGCAAATTCCAACAGCACAAGGATGTGCAAATTCCAACACATTAACGTTTTAGAAGAAAAACAAGAGATCCTTACTTGAGTCCTTTCTTTAACGCTTCGAAGACTTTCTTTACTTGGTCCGGTTTGGGATCCCAGATGACTGCCCCTTTCTGAAGGGAAGAATACATCTTGGCCGATTTTACTGACATTTTGGATCTTGATGAACTTTTGCCGAGAGACTTTCTATAGAAGAGTCAATAAAAAGAGTGACGATAAAACTAACAGAACATTTAATGTATTTTGCTTCATCAACCTCGAACATAACAGGAGTTATAAAAATACAGGTCAAATTCTAAAAGAAATCTCTTACAAATCAATCTTATTCATTTCTACCTGGAAAATATTTCTTCTCAGTTCAGTGTTGAATGGACATGGAATTACAATTAAAAAGTGGAATTACATGCTATTTATTTTATTCACTTCCTTTATCCCCAGTGGGGACATGAAGCAGCTAACATTGTTCTTCTTCCTACCATTTTATTCGCACAACAACCATGTGAAGTAGGTTAACCTGAGACTAGCCCAAGGTCACCCAGCAAGCTTCTATAGCAGAATGAGGATTCAACCCTTGGTTTCCCCAATCCCAGTCTGATAGTCTAACTATTATACCATACTGGCTGTCTTGGCAAATGAGTTTTCCCCCGAAACCATTTGAAGATAAGAATCAGTCCATGCCGGATGGGCCAACTTCAACCCTCACCACCCAATTATTCCATACAAAGTCATCAGTAAGACAGCATCAGTTGGGAGGAGGTGCATAACCTTTTAACAAAAAAAAAACCCCACACCCACACCATTTTGCCAGTCAAAGGTGCGCTCCCAGGAAGGACTAATTGCCCTGCTTTTAAACTGCCTATATACCCCAATATCCCTCTAAGCTGTGGAGTCCTATGAGCAAAAATTCTACTTTGTGAGCTACTGGCATTAAAGTTGTGAGTGAGCGATCTGGCTGCTGCATAAATTAGTTTGCTCTGGGGCCATCCTTCCTGAGTTAAGACAAAAATGTGTGAGCCAGAGGCTAAAAAACTGTGAGCTAGCTCACACTAACTCAGCTTAGAGGGAACACTGCCCCAATACTGGTGCACATGCAGGGTCACAATAGACATGTAGTGTTCCTCCCCCCACAGGGCTATTTTCGATTTGGAAAGGGTACACAGTGGAAGGTTTAAATCTTCCCTTCCCTCACACCATAGTCTCACTCCAAATCAGGCCCATATGTACCTAGGAAGCGAGGTTTTTAAATGCTGGGTGCTCCACACATGGAATTCCCAACATATTACCTAGTTAAACACTGTATTGTGTTATTTTGATCCTAATAAGCATGGCTTTTGTCTGCCTCCGTATATGCTCACAATAGACACTAATTTACAGTAAAGTGAGTCAGATTGCATGTAGAGATTTGTCTATTGCATGCAAATTCCGCTCTCCTCTTATCATGGGACTTAAGGTGGCATCTTTACAGTTCCCAATAGGTCTCTTACCCAGGGTCAGACCTGCTGAAGTTCACAACCATTAAAAAGAGCTTAACACATTCATAAAATCAAGGTCATAACTAAACACAACAACAAAATAAAATAGTTGTCCAAAACCCCAGAAAAAAAGTCGAGATGCTAATAGCTTTTCTGTAACTGTGGGGGATTAGAGAAGGACAACAAAAACAGGAGATTAGCATTAATTTCAGATTCTCTGGCTTCAACACAGTTTGTTAGGAGTCATGTTGTTTTTATCCCTTTGAGGAAAGATAAGCAGAACTCTATTTGACTTCTCCAGTCTTTATATGGAACATGTTGTTTAGTCAAAGGTTCAGTATCAAAGCATCTGAATCTAATCAGACACTCACTGGGCAATCCTAAACATGCATACTCACAAGTCAGTCCCACTGTATTTCATGGGATGTTCCTCAGTAAGTGTGCTTACGACTGTTGCTTTACAGTGCAATCGTAAGCAGGTCCCCATTCAGAACTGGCATGGTCCCAGTAAATACCGTGCTATACCAAAAAGACTGCAATCCTACACGCAATTATTTGAAAGTAAGCCCCACTAGGCAAAGTGGGACTTTTTTTTTTTGCCATCAAGTCACAGCCGACTTACGGTGACCCTACTGGGTTTTCAAGGCAAGAGACATTCAGAGATGGTCCGCCATCGCCTGCCTCGGTGTAGTGGTGGTCTCCCATCCAAACACTGTCCAGAGCCAACTTAGCTTAGCTCCTGAGTTCTGACAAAATCAGGCCAGCCTGGGCTATCCAGGTGAGGGCAATGTGTGCCTTACGTCCAGGTAAAGATAGTATTGACTCTGTCAAGGAAGCCATGGCCTTCAGTTTGCCAAGACCTGAGCTAGGCTGTTCATGACAGGAGATTTTGGAGGTCATTAATTCATAGGGTCCCCATAAGTCGGAAATGACTTAACAGCACATAACACACAAAGACAGTATAATATTGTATTGAAGATGTCACTGAAGTGTTAACATCCTCATACACACCCACACACACAAATTGTATGGGGACAGTTTTACCCATCACCCTTGATATTTACACCCATCTGAGCACAGCCCTGATGCAATAAATAGTCTTGGGGGTGCCACTGGACTCTAGCTTCATTCTCACAGCTCTTTATTAACTCTTGCATTTTCGAGGCCACCTGATCCAATTTCAGCTCTGCATATGCATCTTGGCTCTGAGTGGCCCCTCCTCATGGCTGCCCCCCACCCTCTTTTTTCCTGCACGTAGCCCCTGAGGCAATTTTATTCCAATCTGTCTGAAGAAGTGTGCTTTGCACACGAAAGTTTAAACTTTGAATAAAACTCTGTTGGTCTTAAAGGTGCCACTGGACTCAGACTTTGTTCTGCTGCTTCAGAGCAACACGGCTGCCCTCCTGAAAGATCAGATGTGTTGTTGAAAGCAAGAGAGTGTTCTAAACAGTGATTTTAAAGTCACTTACAAGGCAACTAATTTCAACAGGATTGCCCCAAATCTCAGAGATGCAGACATAGGCTAGCTCTGAATACAAGACCCCTTACTTTCAATAATAACTTTTACAGGACTCATGGGCTCTTTTTGTGGATGGAACTCCTTTGCATATTAGGCGACACACCCCTAATGTAGCCAATCCTCCGAGAGCTTACAGAGCTCTTCTTACAGGGGTTACTAAGCTCTTAGAGGATTGGCTACATTAGGGGTGTGTCACCTAATATGCAAATGAGTTCCTGCTAAAAAAAGAGCCCAGATAGCCCCGCCATGATCACTGTTACTTGTTCCCCCATAAAAATGTTTAGGGCCTTGAGTACATAAAAAGCTTTGTGATTTCTATGTAACTCTGCAAAGCAAGCCATTAGGGATCCCATTACACAGATTCGAAAGGGAGACTAAAAGAGAATGGCTCGCTCATCTCCCAAGTTTGTGGTGTAGTAGAAAAACCTGTGCTAACCTATGAGTCTTATCCACAGAACTAGGTTTAACTCCTGTACATAAAAGATGACAACTACAAGCGTCAACAACCCAATTCCAAACACATCTGGGTGTGTGTAGACACTCGTTTACCCATGTGTACAAGTGCATTCTTGACTGCAGGAATACAGACCTAGTGTATGGACTAAAGCAATGTGCACTTATTTACTTCCAAGTAAGCACACCTCGGATCAGGCTGTAGGGGACTGATCTGTGAACCAAAAAGTCCCTGGTTCCAGTCTCATCATGAGCATTTAAGAATGCTGCTCTATCGTAACTACACATTAGGATAATGAATATTTAACCTACCTTAGAGGGTTGTTGTAAAGCTTATGAAGACAGATGTGAAGCACTTTGAACAATTCAGGAATATATTATTTATATATTCAACTTGCTTACTTCTATATTGCTTACTTGCATACTTATAGATTGCTTACTTATACATTATGAATGCTTACTCTGGAGTAAGCCCAATAAATTCAATTAATCTTATATCCATCGATAGGATCACGCTACATAGAATTTGAGGGAAAATGTAAACAAAGTATTTTCTTTACAAGATATACAGACCTTGCTGGGCAACCATTTCAAGCTTTAAAAAAAAAAAAATCTACTGCTTTCTTTGTCTCAAGTTCTCTCTAAATGCAGTAGAAAAGATCCCAGTAGCAACTTAAAGACTAACAAAATCTGTGGTAGGGTATGAGCTTTTGTGAGTCACTGCTCACTTCTTCAGATCTCTCTCTCTCTCTCTCTCTCTCTCTCTCTAAATGCTCAGTCATTTTCTGTCTCTCAGAGATCAAAAAACTTCTTAAACTTTTGCCCTCCCTACTAAGCCTGCCTCTTCTTTTTATCCCTTTAAATACAGGACAGAACAGGTTGCATTAATTTAAAACCCATTCAAACCTTCTCTAAGTATCCTTTATAACACAGAACTCCCTGTGCATACAGGAAGAACAATTGCTCCACTGAGCACCGCTCACCTTCCAGATTAGTAAAGACAACCAGGGGAAACCTTTCAAAACTCCATTGAAAGGTGCCTCTTTCTGACAGCCACCCAGCTGTCCTCTCCCCTCCCCTTACTGTGCCTGGGATACTTGATTAATTGTACCTGGCTTTTGTTCACTCCCCCTTTTTAACCATATGTCTCCTTCTCAGAAAGCCTCTCTTCCCTCCTTAAAGGCGCTCTGTTCTTTTCCAGCCTAGTAGGAAGCTGGATTTCCACTCCTCTGACAATCAGAAAACAAACCCTGCAGTAGTCAAGCCTGGCACCTGTTATGAACACATCTGGGAAAGTCTGTGAACTGTTCTGAAGACGGTAGCCCAATCTCAACCACCTTTATCGATGTGTTTTTATTCACTTTATAGCCTGCCTTTCTCACTATTGCACAGTGTGGGATAATGCAGTCACACAGCACAAGACAACCAGTAATCAATGCAACGGGGCTGTGATCACAAAAAAATAGTCATTTTTTAACTCAGTGGTCCCGTTGATTTCCACAGGACTTACGTGTATTTAAGACTGCAGCTTCAACTGCATGGTACACTTGACAGGTACCGTCTTCAGCAGCAAGTAAACATTAGGTGATTTACAGTGCAAATGTAAACGTGTATACTCAGAAGTAATTCCCACTGAATTATATGGAACTTACTCCTAGTAAATGTGCACACTTACCTGGGAGGAAGCTCTTTTGAACATGATGGGACTTACTTCCAAGTAGACACACAAAGGATTGCGCTGA